GTGAAGAATCTGAGGGAGAGGCTGCAGAAGCCCAGGTGTCTCACCATCGGCCCACAATTTTATTCGCAGTCCACACACACGTACTGCGTATAAATTTCTGGTTCTCTCATCCAAGCGAAATAGGACTTGTGCTCGTGCAGAAATGAAATGGGTGGACAGCATATGTCTTGGAAACTGAAACACATTAACACTGGTGGCTCGTGCCCATGGAGCCTACATACAGGTTGTGATCAAAAATGGAAGTCCAATACCTAGTGATCCCGAAAAGGATTGATAAACGCGAAGCGAACTATGTGAAACAAACAATGCGAAATAAGTGAATTCGCTCTCAAATCATAGTCAGTTTGAAAGAAATACGAGCAACAAACATTTTTTATAGAAAAATTCAAAAGAATCCCGTTTTCAAGAACACGGTGCTCGCCCTACAATTATAAATTTGCGCGATGACCTCAATTTCGCTTTTTTATTCGTGTTGTTGTAGTAACTCCAACACGATTCAGAGTTGAGTGTTCCAGGAGCCAGGTAAGTCATTGAACTCAACCGTCAAGCTATTCAAGACAATGTCTCATACGTATTGGAATAGCTACATAATGTGAAGCGCCAGGCACTCGAGTTCTATTTCGAGCTAACTGAATTTGGGCTCTGCGCTTACAATGCCACTTATGCAAGCTGATCAGACAGCAGGAAGAGAGGGATGGCCATTCACTCCAGGAATGTACTCGACTCCAATAGGTTGCAAAAGTAGTTGAATCCTACTACTCCCTCGATGTTCTTAAACGCTCCCCATGCCGCTCGTTTCCTCCTGCTCAGCTCTGGAGCTAGGTCGTTCATCATATTGATTTCCCGACCTAGGTACACGTAGCTGGAGCATTCGGTGATGTTCGTTCCGTTGAGCGTGAATGGGGCATCAGGAACCAATCCGTTTCTCATAAACATCGTCTTCGTTAGGTTCAGCTGTAGACCGACCTTACCACAGGCGCAGTCGAAATCAGCCAGCATTCGCTCCGCTTGCTCGATGTTCGGCGTTATAAGAACGATGTCGTCAGCAAAACGAAGGTGGTGTAGTTGCCGGCCGTCGACCTTCACTCCCATGTCTTCCCATTCCAGTTGACGCATGACGTTCTCGAGAGCGGCGCTGAAGAGTTTGGGCGAGATGGTGTCGCCCTGTCGGACCCCTCTCTTGACGTCGATGATGACCTCCTTGTAGAATGGTGAGATTCTGGTCGTAAAGTTGCTGTAGAGCTCACGAAGAATCTTGATGTACTGAGTAGGGACGCCCTGGTTGCCCAAGGCTTCGATACCGCTTTGTATTTAGGTTGTCTCATAAGTAGTGGCGCATTTTTTCAAACGGAAATTTTTCTTGTGAACCTCTAATGTTTTACAATGTTTCATATACCATTCGATAGGAAATTATCTGCTCTACAAGAAGGTATGTACCCTTTTTTTGATTGTTGCAAATTGTTTGAGTTTTAGGCATGCAAAGTGGGAGCTTCAGACGACGAATTTTCGCCAAACCGACAGCTGACCTAAACTTTATACTTCCCTAGAAGAAATCAATCAATAATGTAACTATAACTTACTCATAACCTCTACTAAACATTCCACATTTAGGTTCCCTAAAAGCTTGTCTCGTTTAATTTTGAGATTTAGTTATTCCAGTGCAACTATACGAAGTTATCGGTCAGCGACATAGTTGGGGAGTTCGTCGTCCTATCTCAGAGTCTGGACCAAGCCATCGCACGACTACATCTTCAGGACAGCACCTTCTATGGCCCGTCTGGACCAGAAGAGTTTAGAAGGCAGTATCGTCGCCTCAACAAGGTGTGGACAGACGTCGCTAAGTCAGCAAACTTGCCTAGAAGTGTGGTGACCAGGCTAAAATGGCGAACTACCCATTTGCCCTGTGCTGTACCTTTTAATAAAAACCCACAAAATCGACAAGGACGGTTTACATGCAGAAGATCCAGCTGCTTTCAAGGTACGGCCCATAATAAGTAGTGTAGGTGGCCCTACGGACAGGATCTCTTGGTTCTTGAATCTGATCCTTGTGCAACTCCTTCAATTTATCCCTGCACACTTACCTAACACTACACAGTTCCTTAAAAGCGCTCCGCGAAGCCAGTCTGGAAAGGGATAGTGTAATGGAGTCGTTCGACGTAACATCACTATACACGAATGCCTCCACAAATTGTGCAATGCAAGCAGTCCTGGAGATCCTTACCGAACATCAGAGCAGTCTCAGACTTATACGGCCTCTCTACGCATCAAATCATGGCTGGCTGCCTCAACAAGCGTGTCCTCAAATAATGTAAACCCATTTTCTAGATGGTCAGGGGGGTACTACAAGCAGGTTCGAGGACTAGCCATGGGACAGAGGTTGGCCCCTACACTGGCAATAGCCTTCATGGCGAAAGCGGAAAAGCCTGTATTAGAGCGTAAGCCAATTCTATACCGCCGTTACATCGATGACTGCTTTATCGTGTGCTCCACTCAATCTGAGATGGACACATGTTTCGAACTTCTTAATCGGCAGTCCGAACATATAAAGTTCACACGAGAAAAGCCGCTAAGGTAGGCGTGATTCGTTAGAAAATCGCTGCACAAAGTGCCCTCTCCACAGCTTACGTAACTATGATAAGCAATCG